AGCCGGCCGATCACAGCCGCCGCCGCCGCCGGCGCCCGTAACATGACCGTTGCTTCCGGTCGGCTGGATTCAGGGACCATCAGCTGATGCTGGGAGGCGGCGGCGCGAGGCGGGGGAGGGGGAGGGGGCAAGGACGGCCGGCCGTGGGGTGTGGCGGTAACGGGCGCCTGGTGGGGCGTAAAACGTTACATTACATACCAGACATGGACAAACTTAGCCTCAAATCCAAACAAGCCTGGTATTGGCGCAAACAACACGCCATGCACAAGCTGAGCCCGTGATCTGATCTGCATTGCATCAGGCCATATCAGCGCTGGATGAGGGGCCTGTTTTCACCAAAACATGTACGTTATGAAACACATCAAAATGCATCAAGGCAGCCCAAGTGAGCGACAGATAAGCAATTCTAATATCAGCGCGGAGCTGTCGGTCATGGCCCCCACTACACGCCAGCACAAACAACCCCAGACAACAAATACCCAGGCAACCACTACCGCGCAGGTGAAACTTCCACCAGCCCGGCCCGGCCCGGCCCAGCTCGGCCCAGCCCGGTCCAGCCCGGTCCAGTTCGGTCCAGCCCAGCCCAGCCCAGCCCAGCCCAGCCCAGCCCAGCCCAGCCAGCCCAGCCCAGCCCAGCCCAGCCCAGCCCAGCCCAGCCCAGCCCAGCCCAGCCCGGAGACCCAGAGCCAGACGGGCCGCTCCGCGTCGCGGCGGCGACCGCTCAATTGCCGCCCAGTTACGGCCACGGCCAGTCAGCGGACAATGCCGGTAATTGCAGACGCCGCCAGTCCGGCCGGGCGCGGCTCCGCGGGCGGGGAAATCAATGCCGAGCCACACACACACACACACATGTGCGGCCCGGAGCGCGGCCGTCTGTTGGCCATGTCGGCCGCGGCCCACTCTAGACGGACAGGCGCGACGCCAGGACCACCATGAAGAGGGAGAGAGCGCGAGTGTGGGGGAGTCTGCCACTAGTTGCTGCTCTGTAAGTAGGTAATGAGGGGGTGGTAACTGGAGCTGACTAATCGCATACTTCCGCATTGGTCACGACTGCCGCGAGCGGGAAACAGCTTCTCTGGCTGAGGGGTGACTGAAGAGACATGGGCGCTCGGCGGGAGTGGCCGACTGCCCGTGCGTCGTCCTGGGTGCGCCCCTGCGCCGGGTCGAGCCTGGAGAGCCGGCCGGATGCGCCGTCGCCCGCGGCGGGGATCGCGCCCCAGGCGACAGCGGCCGACTCACGGCGGCGGGAACAAACAGCGCAGACAGCGCACCTCACGCGCCACCAGCTCAGCGGCGGACGTGCCGGAACACACCGGGGAGAGACTGCCAGGTCGGCGGGTCCGACGATACTGTCAGGCCATGTCAGGCCAGGTCAGGTCAGGTTCGGTCAGGGAAAATCCTGGCTATGAGATATGATGTGTTTTCTCCGATGGCCAGCTCGCCAGGGCCACGTGGAGTCACCACATTTGCAGCTAGACAGAGCACACCGAATGCATGCGTCACGTTACATGGTTTCCACTTTCCTTGTAACGAAACGAATCGACGGCCAGCTATGAGAACCGTGGGCCTTCGCGAAAGTGACACCACTCCTCAACGACCCTCCAGAACGAAGTAATATGCTAGGCACGCGTGCCTCATGTGTCAACAGCGGCTCCCCATACTCCTGTGTCCACTCCCTCGTGAGTTGAGGAATGTGCGAGACAGAACCGGCGCAGATTCTTCAGTGGCAGTGACGCAGAGGCGCACGGCAAATCCAGACAGCGGCAGTTACGAACCCCGGCAGATAGCATCAGCAATAACTGGCGCGAGTAGAGGTGGAGCCCGCCGCCTCCGCCGCGAGCGCAGCCCCAGATCGGTCATGCACCGCCTCAGCGGGCACCTCCCAACGTCTCCACCCCTCCCGCCGAGGGCCCTCAAGGCCGGATAAGAATGCGGTCCATCCTCTCGGTGACTCTCGAGACTCACCTCTCCGTCTCGTCCGGTCCGGTCTCTCGACCGGACCGGGCGAGAGACCGGACCGGGCGAGAGAAGCAGGCGAGAGGGCCGGGCGAGAGAGCCGGGCGCCCACAGGAGCGCCAGCCCAGAGCTAATGAGCTGCCCCAGAATGGCAGCCACGTTCACGCTGATACAATACCCCGTCATCACCGACAAGGCCAGAAGACTGACTGTCCTCGCTAGGCGAGCGACATAAATCAACTGCTGCAATGAAACCGCATGCGCCGGTAGCTCCACATTCAGCGCACGGCCAGGGCGGCGCAGTCATTATTACTGCGGCTGCTTCGCTACGGCCCGCGGTCAGTCGACGGCGCCCGTCCGGCAGTCGACCCTGCCGCTGCCGGGTCCGCTTCACCGTGACCTGCCAGGCCAGGCCGTCCGGCCGCGTCCTGCACCCCGGCGCAGTGCCGCGCGGAGGGCGTGGCTGGAGCCCGACGCCACGGTCCTCCGCAGAGACGCAGGACGGCCTTGGGACGGAGGCAGAGACGCGGCTAATGGACACGCGTGAGCGATCAGCTGACGTGAATGCAGGCGTTCCGGGCCGGTTCTCCGGAACAAGAGGACGGGCGACGTTGTTCCCGTGCTCAACGGGCCGTGCGGTCTGCGCCGCAAGGTCGCTGGGGTCTCAGGCCGCCCAGACGAGAGATTACCGCGGCGACACGGAACGCCGTGATTAATCCGTGCAATTACGTGAGCCGTGCAGGCCAGCCGTGTAATGAAGCCCTTTCATGTTCCAAGCAGGCCATTGCTTCGCAAATCTTCACATTATCAAACATTAAAGAGGAATTTCTGATGAGCCGGCTTCAGAAGTCTGGTCGTTCCAGCGGAAGGAAAACATGAACGCATGAAACGTGCACGTATCAAGGGCAAGCGGGCACTCAAATGCCTGCGGAATGGCACCAACACTGAAGCCAGCAGCGTCCGATCGCACGACTCCGGCGCAATGCACGCTAACAGCTTTATCGCTCAAGGCCTGCACATCGCGTTCAGAGCGATGTGCGCCTTTCGCGGATAGTTGCGTGATCGATAACCGGGAAGGGGGGAGGTAGGGAGGAGGCATGAAGCCTACGACAGGATAGTGTTCGCCCATGGCCCTGTCTGCCTCTCACGACAGGAAGCTAACCCAGCAACGCTCGCCACAGTGGCCGGTTGTAAATGTGCCGTCACGAATCATCACCCATCTCTCCCAATCAGCCAACGTCGACCGGACGTGACCGTCACTGCATGACGTCAGAGGCCATCAGCGACCGTTCACCTCCACCCCACACCAGTAGCGTCAGCTCAGCGGAGTAGATGCACACACACACACACACACACAGCCTGCCAACCGACGGCAGCGGCTCGTTTACGTACGTCTGGGTCGCCGTTGCTTAGCTGTAGCCCTGCCGACTTCTGCACCGGCGGGTCCTTCACCGGCGGGACCTCCACCGGCCGGTTCTTCACCGGCGGGACCTCCACCGGCGGGTCCTGTCCCCGCGGCGGCGTCTCCCGCTCGGCCTGGCTCACCGCCTCGCCCGCCCGAGCCACGGCCGCTCCCCCCTTCGGCTTGTCACCGAGGCGCCGGTCCCCGAGCCAGTCGAGGGGGCGGCGGCGCGGCCGGCGCCGCTCCAGGTCCCACTCGGCCACGCCCAGCACGCAGTAGTTGCGCTCCCAGTCCTCGGTGCAGGACCACAGCACGGGCCGGTAGTCGCGCTCCCGCTCCAGCTGGCGCGCGCGCGGCCGTTCCAGCGTGCCGCGGTCGGAGCTCGAGTCAGGCTCGGCGCGCGGCGGCTCGCGGCCGCAGCGCGCACACAGCTCGCCCCGCCGCCGCCGCGAGCCGCACGCCAGGCACGGCTTGTGCAGCCGCAGCCGCAGCGAGCCGTACCCGCCGCCGAGCGAGGGCCGCCGCCGCGCGCCGGCGTCCTGACCCGGCGCCGGCGGGACAGGTGGCGAGGACGGGGGCTCGGCGTCGCCCGGGTCGCTGCGCGAGGGCGACACGACCCCGGCGTCGGGCCGTGGCCGGAAGTACTTGAGCAGGCCGAAGCCGGGCATGGTGTGGCGAGCTCGCTGGCGCGAGCGCGCCCACGTGTCGCCGGCGATCGCGCTTCTCACTGCGGCTCACCGACGCTCCTTGCGACGCGACACTGCCGACCGCGGGTACCGTTGTCCGACGCTGCTGTGCCGCGTCGCTCCCGCAGACCGCGGCCGTCGCCGCCGCGACGTCTGGGATCGCTCGCGTCACGCGACGAACAGCGGTGAGGTCGCGCTGCGGCCCGGCGGCACCGTCTCCCGCGGCGCCTCCCCACGGCGGTCCGGTCACCGTTGCACCGCCCCTCCCTCGCCCGCACGGACCACCCCGGTCGGGCGTCGCTCGCTCACTGCCGGCGCGTCGGCGTCGACGCCGGCCGACCGGCCGCGCCGTCGTCGGCGCACGTGCAGCCGGGGCAGCGCGGCGCCGCCGTCTGCGCGGCCCCGCCCGCCGTCGCCGGACGGCGTCGGACGCTCGGTGCGGCTCGGTGGGCCGCGAGCGGGCCGGTGCGGGCCGGCCGATCGCCGGTGACGCTCCGCTGGAGATCAGAGCGCGCCGCGCCGCCAGACGCCCGGGGGCGGGGCCGCCGCGCGGAGGGACGGCCGCGCGGCGCGGGACCGCCACCGGTGGGTGGGCAAGGTACACGCCTGTGTCCTCGGGGCGGGCAAAGTCCTCACACGTGCCCCCGGGGTGGGCAAGGACCGCGAGGGCGCTTCCGCACTGAAGGCGACGTTCACACAGTCCACACGCCGGTCGTGAGCGTCGTCAATGGCTGCTGCACGGTTTCCCCACCGCCAGGTTAACGTCCCGCCACGGGGAGCATGAGACCGGTGGCCGGTGCTGGTGGTCGGGTCTGGCACTTGTCACAGCCGCCGGCGCCGTCTGAGCTTCAGCGCCTTGTACTGCGGGTCTGTCCGCCGTCGCCACCGTCGACACGAGCCAGCAGGGAGCCAGCTGATGGCACTTCGCACTGGATCCACGAGCGTCCCCAGTCGCGTCACAGAATCGCGTCCAGTCGCAGCCGCCAGCCGCGATCCCACAGCTCCTCTGCGTGGCCCGCCCGCTCCAGTCGTCGCCGGCGGCAGCGGCGCGCCGGCCCGTCGGCGCCGTTCGTGGCGTACTGAGGCCGGTCAGCGCCGCCGGCCCGCGACGGGCATGGGTGCTCCACCGGCTCCACCGACTGCAGCCGGCTGCAGGCTGCTACATGGCGGTGAGAGCACCGCTACACGTGTCGGCACACGTCGACCGTGACCGCTGACACGAGCCCGGCGCGCCAGGGGGCCCGGCGTCGGAGGGAGCGGCAGATGTCTGGAGATGCCAGGCAGCCGTCGACGGGTGAAGGATCGAGCCGCTGCAGACGTCAGTGGTCAGCTTCTGGACGGCAGACCCCCAGAACCGATGGAAAGACCTCGATCAAAGGCGCTGTACGTTTGCTGTGAGCTTCCTTGGCGCGTTGCCGCGCTGCTGCACAACCAGCGCGGTCACTCAGCGGCCTCAGTCAGCGGAGCTGCCGTTACGCCACGCGCCGCACCGCGCGGTCGTCGTCACCACCAAAAGTCCGCCAGGATTCACAGCAGCTTCCCCGGGAGAGGTGGCGCGCCGCCGGCGCCCACTGCGGGGCACTGGCGGGTCACCGGTCGCCGCCGTGTCGATCTCCGCATTCGCCGACGAGTCACTGCAGCGCTGACCACCGCCGGAGCAGACAGACCCGAGCGAGCGCGCCCGCGAAGAGCACCACGACGGCGGCGGCGGCGGCGGCGGCGGCGGCGGCGGCCGGTCGCACGCTGGACAGCCTAATGACTCGACGGTCACGCCCAGACAGTCGTGTCCAGGCGAGACACCACGCGCTGGCGCTGGCCGCCAACCGCCGACCGCGGCAGGCGTCACGTGACCGGGCCGCGGGCGCGACCGACGCCGGCGGGTCACCAGGTCACCGGCGGGAGTGATGCGGAAGCGGCAGACCGGGGCACCCGGCGGCGGCTGGTGCTCTGTGAGCGGCACTGGTTCTGCCTAGTAGCGGGAGCGCGGGTGCGGGGAAGGAGTGGCTTCGGCTAGTCAAAATACAGCGCGCTGCAGTGCGCGACGGGGAGAGGGAGCGGACGCGGTGAGTATTTCGGCAGTCATGCCACGGCGCCGGAGAGGGTGGGAACGATACCGGCTGCTCACTTCTGCCGGAGGCCCGCCTGCCACGCACACACCGGTCCGGCAGAGTGGGGAGTGCCGCCACTGAGCACACAGAGGCGTCACCGTTCCCCGCCACTCAGGGGTGATACCGCCGCGTCACACCGAGGACGGTAACCACCGCTTTGCACTCCCGGGCAGGCCGCCAAGCGTCACTCCGGGTCACCGGCGCCGCCAGAGGGTCGAGCGCGGCCGGTGCGCCGGCGAGCGCCGCTTCTCTGACTGAGGTGCGGCGGGCACGGGGAGGAGGCGTGGGCGCCAGCTGAGCCGACATCTCCCGCGGCCCCAGCAGGTCGCGACAGGGGCGCGGTCGGGCGCGGCGCGGCTCGGAGCGCGTCGAACACGGCCCATCCGTCCGGACGCGACGGGCGGCGCGCTCGTTACCGGCCGCCCGTGGCGCCGCGCGGCGGGCGCGGCGCGAACTTCGCCGACCGTGGCGCCGCCCGCCGGCCGACGCCGGAACTGCGGTCGGCTACGCGGCGCTGGCGAACCACGTCGCCGCAACCGGTCTCTCTGCAACAGCTCCTCGGCCGCCGCGCAATTCCGTCTGGAGAACGTCACACGAAGGAGGAAGAGCATTCCGGCCGTCAGCTGACCGTCGGCCAGCTGGACTCGGCGCTCGGTGGGCGGGAGGCAGACCAGCAAATGGGTCGGCCTCGGTGCCCGGCCTGCAGGGGCCGAGGAGGGGCCGATGACCGCCGGCTGAGAGCGCCCTGCACGATCCAGCGGCGCCACCAGGAGCGGCGCGCAGGCGCCAGACCGGACCTAACTGGGCCAGAGCGGGCCGACTCGAAATGGCTCGGATATGAGCGCCGGGACCGGGTCGAGCCAGACCGAATCGCGCGATCGAGTGAGATCCGACAGGACTGGGAGCCTGACCCAGCCTGACCACGCCGAGCAAACCCGAGCTTTGGCTGATATCTGAGCGACGTGGAGACGCCGCGACAAAGACGCCGCGCCATGAGAGAGACACCAACTAGCAAACTCCAGGAACGCCGCAACATGACATGACTGGCGTGCAGAAAATCACGCCCACCACCCAAGTCGACCAAAAGAGCCATAACCAAAACGAGCGTCAGCTCAACACCTCCGGCGGCCACTGGACTAAGCGAGCATTCGTACCTTCAACACCAGCAGCCGCGGTCGAAGCCCTTGGGCGGTCGTCGCACGGAGCTCCCTTCCCCATGGGTTCGGCTGCCGGGGTGCGGTCGAAGCCCTTGGTCGGTCGTCGCACGGAGCTCCCTTCCCCGGAGGGCCCGGTTGCCGGGGTGCGGTACCGTGTAGGACGGCTCGCACGGAGCTCCGTTCCCCGGAGGGCCCGGTTGCCGGGGTGCGGTACCGTGTTGGACGGCTCGCACGGAGCTCCGTTCCCCGGAGGGTCGGCTGCCGGGGTGCGGTACCGTGTTGGACGGCTCGCACGGAGCTCCCTTCCCCGGAGGGCCGGCTGCCGGGGTGCGGTACCGTGTTGGACGGCTCGCACGGAGCTCCCTTCCCCGGAGGCCCGGCTGCCGGGGTGCGGTACCGTGTTGGACGGCTCGCACGGAGCTCCCTTCCCCGGAGGCCCGGCTGCCGGGGTGCGGTACCGTGTTGGACGGCTCGCACGGAGCTCCGTTCCCCGGAGGGCCGGCTGCCGGGGTGCGGTACCGTGCTGGACGGCTCGTGCTGCACGCGATCCGTTGCCCTGACCACTGCGGCGATGGCAGGTCGCCCGGGCTGCCGGCGCGCCGCCACGGCTCCACCCATATCCGACTGCTGCAGCCCATCCCACCCGAAGTGTCCCTTTTTCGCCCAGTGCGGAAGGGCACTTACCAGGACCATGCGGAAGGCACTTACCAGTGCCATGCGGAAGGACACTTACCTGGACCCCGTTCCCCACTGGCAAACGCCGACCTCAAGCTGCAGCCTACGACGTCGCAGGTAAGTGCATCACAATAGTTTCAACGCCTTGAAAAGGAGTCGCTACTGTGTGACACATCCACTTGTGACGCCATAGGTGACAACCTCAGGCAGGTACTTCGCCAATGAAGAGCTGGACGTCAGCGTATAACTGCTGCAATACGGTGGCTTCGGAAGATGGGCCCTGAGTGTCAGCGCTCGACCCCGCGACCTGCCCGTACGCGCAGGGGCGGCCCGGGGACCTACCTGGAAGTGCAGGATGATAGTCCACACCAGACCCAGCGTCAGCTTGGGGTTGCCGTCGACGATGTCGTCAGCTCGGATGTTGACCAGCTTGATCTGGAGCAGAGCGAGCACCGGCGTCAGGTCGAGAGGTCAAACCTCTCTAGACTTCACATCCAGGAGCACTACATATACATACTCACCCCTGACCGCTCCCGCTCCTTCAAATCCCGTAACAAACTCGAAGGAGCCGGCTCGCGTTACATACCGTCCCGCACGGCAGAACGCGACCGTAAACACGAACGTGCTCCCACCAGCGGAGCCTGTCTGCGGGCGACGCGCCACGCGTCACGCGCGCAGACAGACTCCCAGACAGACAGACAAAAAGGCGAGACACGGCAGGGCATGTCGCGTCCAAACACGGCACCCGTCGCTCCCACGCGAAAAGAAGCGCGGCACGTGACCCGGGAATTAGGCCGCGACCTTACTAGCAGGCGCGGAGTTTGTACTTTGCCCAGCTGTGGCTCGCCGCGGCGCAGCCTCTGCGCACCTTGCACAAGGTGGCGCCTGTACCGGAGGTGTCGTGCTGATGTGAATTTGTCACAATGAGACACTCGGTGAGTGTTTTCGCGTGTTACCACCCACACCGGCGCCTGTAGCACCTTATCGCCACTTCAATAACGACATCTTGAGTGCCACTTAAAATATCCGCGATCACACCTCCCGCGTATGACAACATATAAGGAGCTCTGTAGTCGGCGACCTTGCGTCTGGCATCCATCCAGATGTGACTTTGTTATCTGTGTTGGTGTCGGATGCGTCGGTACCAGTCCGGCCAGGAAGCCGGCTGGCAGACCGGGGGAGATGCGGGCGGCGCGAGCGCAGCACGACCGCACAAGGAAGGCGACAGGGCGGGGCCTGAGAGACTGCCAGCCAGTGGGTGTCAGTGACGACCATAGAGACGGCAGTAGCGACGCAGACTCTGGGATTGAACACGGGCTTCAGCCGACGCCACCCGGCGGCGTCAATCTTGGTCCCGGCCCCAAATCCTGGCCTCGATTTCGGGTAAGGGCAAAATCAGCTGGAGCTCTACGGCTGCACGACCGCGACGTACATCCCGTATCACCGTCTACCTGCACATCATCAGCCTCAGATGCCGCCACCCCTCCTCTCCAATTTAGCGGGGGCGCCCAGTAGTCCGTCCCGTTGAACCCCATACTCCAGGCCCTCGTCAGCAAGGGCGTGCCCAAGACGCCCGGAGGAGAAGTGGACCTTGCCCCACATGAAATCTCGTAGGTGCTTGAAATCTAAACAAAGGCGGTCAAATTTAAAGATTTTCAAGGAGCAAAATGAAAATCACGTTGCACAAATCCACCTTCCCGAAATCGTGCTTAGGCTTCCGCCAGTGCCCCTTCATCGCTTAGCGTAACGTCGGTGCGCAACACTGCACTTCCTCCTCGCCGTATCAGGCGGAGCACGGTCGCCGCAGCCCTGACCCATTCGATTAAACCAACCGGCTTGCCGCATTGCACAGCCGCCGCGGGCAGGCGGAAGTGTAATTAGCAGGTATCACCCCAAACACACGGCGCCAAGGCAGCGCGGCGCTCCTTTGAGCCGGCAATCAGCGCACGCTTTTAGCGGAGCGGCACTGACTCAAGCCGGGCCGAATGGCCCCTACCGTGGGGGAGAGGGGGAGGGGGGCAAGAAACGCTGACGAGCGTGCGTGCGAAACGGTCGGGAAGGGTGGAAACGGGTGTGCTACACGATTTAAGGCGTGTGAATGGCAGAGATTGTTGCATCGGACATGATGGCAAAGGCGATAGGCCTGCAGACGGCGCTTAACAGATGAAGGAACAGTGAGTGATGGACAGCGGTATTTGTCATTTGAGATTTTGAGCCGACACAATAGTGACAGCCGGTGACACTAATCCTGCGCCAGTGACTGATTGGCGGGCCAGATGTTAAAAACGCCGAACCGCTTGGGTTGCTGGTCCTTCAACCCGGCAGCCATTCGCTTTTGGCCGCCACGTTTCGCAGGGCTTCAAAAGAGCGACCTAAACCAGCAAGCAGCGCCGAACGTCAGCTGTTCTCGCGCCCGTCCGGCGAATTATTCTCCTCACTGGAGCTGACAATATGTGCGTGACCAAAATCAGTCATGGCATTAGTGGTCCACGCCCCGGGCCAAACCATCCAGGCGGTCAGGTCATATCGTCCCGCGGCACCGCGCGGCGCTGACCCGTCCCACCTCTCCCCTTCCCAGCACCACTCCCCGGACCTGAGGTCGGGGTGGAGAGCCCGCCTGGTGCTTCCTCCGCTCTCCAACGTCCCGCGCTCCTTCGGAGACAGCCGACGCGTTAATAGGTGGCGGTGGTGTCAGCGGCGGTGCCAGCGGTGGTGTCAGCGGCGGTGTCAGTGGTGGTATCAGCGAGCCCCAGCACGCGACGGCTACATCCGGGTGACGACGAAGTGGCGCTCACAGATCACTCACATATATGCAGACCGGCTGTCGCCAGACGTCTGGCGCCGACCAGCGTCCTCATCCTTCCCATCCCACCGACCTCCGGGTGGGTTACACCATCGCGACTTCAAACGGCCGGCCGCTACCGCCGGCAGAGGCGAAACAGCTCTCGTTTCCACCGCAGGCCGCCATCTTACGACCGACGATATGCTTCACGACGGACAGCTCCGCGCCGAAAAAGGCCCCAGCCCCGCCACCGATCATCACAATACGCATCCCAAGGATGGACGCGCGGCGGCGGCGGCGCCGTCACAGACGTGCATCAGATACGGGCAGCGGTCGCGGCACCCGCGACACGTCCGCGGCGCGCGCTGCTACGGCCGGCGGTCGGTCCGATTCATCACACACCGCCGGGGCCGCCGCCGGTGCAGGCGCCGCTTCATTCACCCCGGCCGGAGATCGCTCGTGCCCCTCGCCCCCTCCCACGCCCCAGACTTCAGAGTGCGAGGGGGAGGGGGTTCTGCGGCGTGTCGACGGGGCTGCGCCGCGTCGCCAGGAAATGGACGGGCAGAAGTGGCCACGGGCACGAGCATGAACAATCGCGGACGAGTCCACCCTGGCGCACGCAGCGGCTCCAATGTTCAACCGCTTGAAACGCATGCAACGCAGTAGAGAAGCCCAGGGCGTCTTTCGTCCCTGTCTAAAATAACCTGAAACGTTTGCGCACGCGTAAATATCGCCCTCACGCACGCACGACCCAAAACTGACCATCGCTCCGCGAACCCATGCAAATGTCCTCTGCCAAACTACGCAGTTCGCTGTCTTACGGGACCACGTCAGAACCAGTTTAACAGCAGAAGCCCCTGCTCAATTTCACTTGTCCTCGAAACGACCCCGCACGAGTCCGTTCCGTAACCACATGCTAAGCGACCACCTTCGATGTCTATCGCGCATCCCACGCCTGCACGCGGCTACGTGCGACATCCACCCAGCAGCGGCCACACAAAACACCGGCCCCTTCCCAGAACCAGCCCCAGACAGACCCGCCGCGACCGCTCCTGGCGCCAGGGCCGGCGCATGCCAACCCCCTCCGCGCGCGCAGGACCGCCCACACTGTCACGCGCTCGCCGCATAAGGCGGCGCGGCGCGCGTGCGAGCACCGCTCCACCGCCGCGGCAGGGGAGGCGGGGCTGCGCCGCGGTCGCTGCAGAGATGTGCGCCATGCGGCTGGGAGCGTCCCACGGCGCGGTGGCGGCGCGCGCGGCCGCCGCTGGCCGCCGGGCAGCGCTGCCGTGCGGCGGCGCAGTTTGCCGACCGGCGCCGGCCGCAGCCTCCCATCGGCAGGTCGAAGGAGGCCTCCCGGCGGTCGGCAGGCTCGTCGGTCGAGAAGCGGCGAGTCACGCCGGCTGGCAGAGCTTACGCCAAGGGCCAGCGGACGTACGCTGGCCGCATTTGCACCGTGAGTCGTGCTGACACAGTGATAAAACCTACGGCGTCCTACATGACCCCAACGGACGCAAAGCCGCGGCGCTCACGCCACGGTACTTACGCCGTGTGACGTCACACGACGACGCACCATGCCGCGTTGCGTTACTGCCCTGGGATGCCCGGCCGCGGCGGGCGACGGCCCTGTCCTCGCCGGTCAGTCGCTGGCAGTCGGCAGACCGGAAGCGGCCCGGCACGGCGCGGCGTCGGAGCCGGCGCTGCGCCGCGGGGGGCGCCGGTCCCGGACCCGGTGGGGCGGCCACCCGGCGCTGATTGGCCCACCCGCGGACACGCGTCCACCCCCGCGGTCCGGACACCGGGACAGGTGGGCGTTCCGCTAAAAGTGCTCCGTCCGGCCGGCTGTGATGTCGGCCGCCTTACGACGGCGGCGTTCGATCCGCCTTACGACGGCGGCGTTCGATCCGCCTTACGACGGCGGCGTTCGATCCGCCTTACGACGGCGGCGCTCGATCCGCCTTACGACGGCGGCGCTCGATCCGCCCTTTGGCACCAGCGGCGGCAGCCCGCCGTGCTGTTATGCTGGCCGGGGTGAAGGCTGACCGATCTGAGGTCGCCCGGTTCCTGGCCGGCTGCGGGCGCGGCCGGTATCGCTGTTGCACGTCCGGTCACGATCCGTTGTCGGGTGACGGCAGTGACGGCTCGCGGTGCAGGCGGGTGCGGTGCCGGCGGCAACCGTCCAAAGCGTCGCCCAATGACTTCGCCGTCAAATGGCCCCGCTATTGAGCAGTCGACTCGCTGACCTCACTCCTGCCTGCCACCCCTTCCGGCGCCGCAGCCGTCGCTGGCCTGTCCTCTGAGTCACACCCCGGTCCGTTCGTCGGCTCTTCCCGAGGGGCGGACATCCGCCGCCTGGCGACGGCGGCAGGAAACGCGGCGGGCGGCTCGGCCGCGGGCCAGCGCCGGGCAGACACGGCCGTGTTTAGCCAAGGTGTCAGCGACGACCATCAAACACCCATCCCATGCCCCGGCAACAGTCTAATGACGACCGGAGAATGCAAGGGGCGAGCGACACGCCCACGGCGCCTGCATAAATAAGCATGACAACATCCCGATCGGCTATGCGGATCGCGCGGGCCCCGGCTACCGACTCATGAACGCTCACGCGTTCTGCGCCGCCGGAGTCTTTCCGGTCGCTCGGCAATCCAGGAGCATGGCTGGTGTGATGCACGGGAGTCGACGGCGCCACCGCAACACGGGCGCTGCTAAGACCGGGATCGGGGCGCACTGTCGTGATGGATAACGTCACGCGCTGTCGTGACGTGACGCCGTGGAATGTGACGCCTGGGGATCGGCTGAGCAGGATGTCCAGCTGGGGGCGTGCAAAAAGCTGGCTTTACAATGCAAGCGCTGGGCAGGATAAGCCTGGGGAACGGGTTTCTTTGAATGATAGTCAGTCTCATCCAAAACGACACAATTGCCGGAGATGATGGAAGCAGGGCGAAGAGACAGTTGGCATCCCTCTATTTCTGGAAATACAATTTATTCCACATAACCGCATAGGAAAAACCGTTGTAAAAATATAATTCCCCACCTCGATTGTTCAAAGGGTTTGCGATCCCTGTCCTGTGCTGCTGTGGGGCCACGGGGGGGAGTGTGCTATGACGTCACAAGCATGTCAGCTGATGTTCGCTGTCCTGATGTGGGCTTTCTCACATCGTTGAGCAATGTGCCATGGTGTCAGTGTATTGGTGGTGAGCATGACGTTGACATCGCCCATGACCGAATGAGTGAAACTTAAAACGTACGCTCCATCATCAATCAACCTTAAAAACATTGACGAAGCAAAGATAAAGCTGGTCTACCGAGAGGAATCAATGACATTCAATCAGCCGCAAGAAAGCTGGCGGCCACAGCCCCGTGTATCTGATTACAAAATGCCTGCGCCCACACACTCAATCAAGACAACTCAACACAGTCTAAACAAGCTGTCAATCACACACCACAAACCGCGAAGCAATATCACGCCACCAAACGGCAGGCAAAAACAAGGCGGCGTCATGCTTCAAAAGACACGAGAATGGGCCAAGGACGATCGAGCCAAAAACCGCAGGTCACAACAAATGTAACATTCATCACCGGCAGCCATATATCACCCGCCGGCGACCGCGGCCCCGGCGGAGACAGCGCCCCCTCACCTTCCTGAAGTGCAGGAAGTCCAGCGCGATCTGCACATTCTGCAGCTGATGGAAGCGCAGCTGGCCCTTCTGCGACGGCTGAAACAGGCGCAGGCAATCAGCGACCCCATCTCCAAGTGGGTTACCGCCCGTCTGCGGCGTCACGGCCGTTAGCTCGCCGCTGAGTTACAGCCCGGCGAATTAGAGAGACCAGACGCAGTCGGCGCCGCCTCCGTGCAGGCCGTTCCTCACCAGACGCCGACTGGCGGATCACACGTGGACCGCGGCAGCGCGGACACGCTCCGCACGCTGAGGGGCGCCCGAGCCCAGCGACGAGATGGCCCGACATTGTGCAACCCGCCGGCCGCACGCGCCCCAAACAAATCGAAAGCGGCTGACGGCATCGGTGACGCAGGGGCCGCGCCGGCGACAAAAACGGCGCGCGGCGCCCCGGCGCTGCTCTCCTCCACCGGCGCGGCGGCGTCCGGCCGGCGGGGCTGATCGATTCGGCGCGGCGGTGGCCGCGGCGCAAATCCGTCACCTTTTTCCCGGCGCTGAATAGGTGCACCGGCCTGCGAGGACGCGGCCGGGGCAAGAAGCGGCGGCCGCTGTTTTGTTGCGCGCGCGGCCGGACCGCGCCCGGCCGTTTCGGTTTGCCGTGACCCGGTGGAGTCCCGCCGGCCCCGCTTGCTTGCCTGGCGCGGCTAACGCCCTCCCCCCTCCCCTCCTATCTATCGCGCCTTCCGATAGACCTGGGCGGGGTTGTGAGGCGAGGGGGTGAGAGGCACGCCCCAAATGCTATTGAGAGTTCTGCCCGTCTCCTCATGGCGTTTCAAGCTAGGATCTGTTATGCATGCGGGCGCAAGTATGCGCTGTTACTCCATCTGCTGTAATGGCAGCGAGGACCGAACACCAAACCTGTCCTGAACGCTGATGATTATCCTGCCATGCATACCGCTTTTTCTTATCAAGCTAACTGTACCGGCAACTGCTAAAGTGACAAGAGTCGCGCCGCCACCATCAAGTCATAAAACGTCAGCGGTCTAACGACGCCCGACGGGGAGGTCCTTCTCGTAACCGGCCAAGGCTACCCGCCACCGCAACACACGACAATGGGACCGCGAGCACGACGGGACCGGCAGCTGCCGAGTTTCCTCCCTCCGGCGCGAAAGAAACCGATTGAAAATGTTCACCGGTTTGACCCGAACAAGCCAGTTCCCCCCGCCCTTACGACTGTCGCGGAACGAGCTCGATTACTACAGGGCGGTGGGAGCGGCGTTCACCGCGTTGAGGCAGGCCAACCGCCCGAATGGAGTACGCTCTCTAAACGGAAACAAGCTGGGGCACAGCTCAGACATTAACCAGAGCTTGTAAACACTCTTGTCCTCCTCTTAACGACACGGCAATCCTCTCTCCCCGGCTAACGACACTCGCCGCTATCCCGAGCTGCTCTGGCCCTCCCCCTGACTCTATCTCCAATGTCACTACGCCCCCCGGCCATCACCGGAGCGGGTGTGGCCCAGTTGCCGCCGTCGCTTGACCTACTGCCTAATCTCTGTGTGTAATTGGGGCCGGCAGTTTGTCGTGCAGTGTTTCTGGACGGGCGGGCCGGCCAGCTGCCGATGAATGGCGGGAGGCGGCCGGAGGTCACCGCCAGGGGTCAGTCAGCCGCAGTGGCTGCAACGGCGCGCCACGGCGCGGCAGAGGCCCCGCGGCGCAGGGCTGAGGTGAGAGCGCCGACCCGTGGGAAAGGACGAATACGGGCGGGGAGGCGCGACAGCGACGAACAGGGCGGCACGGGAGGCTGCCATGGCTACGGCGCGTGTAAGCGGTGTGCGCGGACCGCTGAGGGATTTTTGCGGATAAGGGCGCTCCCGGATCTCCTTGGTGACGTCAGTGTCAGCAGCCGCAAGTACGACAGATAAAAAAAGGGATTTGGTGGCGATGGCCACGGCTTTTGCGCGCACCATTCGCCCGGTATTGGCTGTTAAAAATACACGGCACCGGAACATAGCAATACAGAGGAGATACGCCAGTACATCAGCGTTTATAGTCCTTACGGTCAATGCGAAGTGACGAATGAGGTGAGCGAAACTGAGACAAGGCATTATGATGAAATGGAAGTCAAGATATGCGAAACTTACCAACCGCTCGCCGGACAGCACCTCCAGCAGTCCCAGGAGGTTCTTCCCGTCTCGCAGGTCGACGAACAGGTCGCGAACGTTGCGCCCGCACTGCAACACGGCAGAGCCCGGTCAGGTGGGCGGCGGCGGAGCTGAACCGCCGCGACGGGTGACACAGATTTAGCATCAGTCCGCCGGCCCGAAACGCGACCGGCTAACCGGACCTACAGCATCGGACATAAGATCAGACACAAAAACCACCTGCCGGACGGCTTGACAAGGCAGTCCTGACCGTTGACCGCAAGACTTGGGGCGGTGGCTTCCCTTATGCGTGGCGCAGTGGCGGGCGACCCGCGCCGAGCCCGCAGTCGGAAGGCCGGGCGCCTCAACAAGTGACACCAGCACGCGGCCGGCCCCATTCAAATCCGAGAACAATGGCCAAACACATCCGCCGTCGGCTTGGCCGAGTGCCGGGGAGCCGGCTACAAGAACTGGAGACCGGTCAAGCGCGAAGACACGGGGCTGAGGCGGGTCGGAAAGAGCTCCGGCAGGGAAAACAAACCAGCCAGCGCGCAGAGCTCATGTCGCGAACAAAATGCACGAGCGATGTGCCACGTCGATGGCTGCTTAGCTGTGGCGCCGTAGCCTACTGCCAGTGGGTTAATTGGTGCCACAGAGTAAGTCAAGCGGGATTAGTTCAAAATGGTGAGACACTGAAAATCTATGAGCGGGTTAAAATGGTGCACATAACTCAGGAAAACATCTGGTGAGAGAAGGCCTAGTGCAGGTGTGGTGAGCCAGTCGGGTCCAAGTTCAACGACGTTCGAGCCGAATCAGCCAAACCAAACAGCAGCCGGAATCAAACAAACAAAAAAAAAACGGAAATCGGCAACGCGAAGAAATCAGAAGAGATGGCTTCTATCGACACCGCGCCGTCGAAAAAGCATCGACTTCATGCAGCAGTCGCATCGGCAGCGGTCCAGCCACGAACCGAACACAGGCCAGTCCTGCGAGCGGGTTGAGCACGGCGCCTTGGGCAGGACTTACGACGTCGAGTCCTGAGTCGTTCGACCCCAGGTCAACTCTGAGTCGCTCTTTCGACCCGAGGCCCAGACCCCGATACAGGGAGTCCGGCGAGCTCGTGTTGAGCCGCGGCCGCTCTCGCGACCCGTTGGCCGGGCGCGGCCGGTCGGGCGACGCGAGTTCAAGGCGCAGCCGCTCGCGCGACCCCAGGCCCGGTCGCGGCCGGTCCGGTGACACGAGGTCAAGGCGCAGCCGCTCGTACGAACCAGCCGGCGACCGGACCCGGCTGCTGGACCCTGACTCACGCCCGAGGCTATCGCTTGACCCCAGCACTGTGCCGAGACTCAGGAACGTCTGCAAGGCGAGGGCAGCGTTACATCTGACATCTGCCGGCGACCACCGCAACTTCCAGTTCCTGAAAGCGCCGATAGTCTGATTCGGAGAGAATTATGTCTGAAGATGTGGGCGGTGCTACGATCCATGCGGGATGAACAGGCTGCGCGTGCCATCCACGCGGGCGTGCACGAGAAACCCAAAGCCGGGTAATCAATATCACGTCTTCGCAGTGCGCCATTGATGCCAGAACTCAATACCGCCTTCGCGGCAGACATTGGTGCTAATGGTGATGCATGCGTGCAACCCAATGCGCTCAGATGTCAATCAGGGGCGAGGTCAGGCCTCTGTGCGAAAGGAGAGTGCAGATCAGATTCGCAGGGTGCGACTGAAGGCAATCAACTTCCCAAACGCACTCTTACAGACTCCCACAAACCTCACTCAGAACGTGCTACGATACTTATATTTTATTATATAAGTATATATTATATATATACTTATATAAGTATATACATTTTTTATTATATAAGTATATATATATATATATATATATATATATATTATAAAATACCCAATATTTTACATCAAAATTCGGCCACCGCAAGTCGATTTTCAATCTTCCCACGCGCTCAGGCAAGTTACGGCACACGTATCAAGTACATGTAAGGTCCTGCATGACCTGACAGGACCTGACAAGACACTCCTCGAACCTCTACGACAGTGCCATGCCTCGTCGCCCCGCCATGCCTCCGGCGCCAGTGCGGGGCATGCGACATGCGACATGGTGCGATCACGGGCGTGATCCCGGGATCCGGTGACGGAGCCGGGAGAGAGGCATGGACTTCCTCTCCGCCGAGGGGGAGGCAAGGTCTGGACACTGAGAGCAGGGTTCCCACGGGCGTGACAGCGGCGCCCAGACACGTGACCCGGTCATGATTGAGTCGTGCATGCTCCGATCAGTTAGACGGCTCGGCGGCCGCGGCCGACCGGCCGGCCGCGCCTTGACAGAACGCCGCCACGTTTACGCCCCAATCACCGGTTGTAAACGGGTGGTAAACGAGTTAACGACGGTGCGTCGGGCAGCATACCTCGTAGCACATCCCATGCTGCGTACGGGAGGAGGAAGAAGTGGCGATCAAGAGCTCCGGTACAAACGGCAGCAGTCGGGTCATTTGTCGCACACGAGTACACCTATCACGACAGCCACGCCCACGCCCGCAGGCGTGTATGACCACGGCAATCACGGCACTCCTGCCGTGTCGGCGTGAGAGCTGCCCCGCGTGGCGTGGTGGAAGCGGTGCTTGTTTGTATCTACAGGCGCGTCTGCGCGTGGAGCCAGGCGCGAGCACAGCCCACACGCCGCCAGTGGCCCCGCGGAGTCCCATCAGGGTCCCAGGGCGAACGCAGACATTACGCTGGCAGCATGTCAAAATAAGTGCTCGCATTGTTCTTTAAAATGGGCAAAGCGTTAATGGCTACCATCATGGTCATACACGATTCAAAAGAGCAGTAACTCCATGTATAGCAATAAGACCGACTATGCAATGTCGGGAAATGCTACAGGATCCATGAGCATTTTGAATGTCATCAGCACTAAGAACATCACCATCACAAATGCACGATCATTGCATCAGCCTATCACACCGTAGTACTGCGGTCAAAACTGCTGTATTTATGTACTCATATTGTTATTAAATGACACCGTCCCCTCCGTGGCATGGAAGCACTTTCACGTCTAGAACATGGTTGTACACGAGCGCATTATTGTGGATTCCGAAGGTTTTCCAACACTGCGGACGCGGTCTTAACTTGTAACCGACACACGAGACCAAACCGTCCCAGGACACTTCGAATAACGCTGGGATACCCCCTGTCCCGGCATGCCCACTCCATACATTTCCAGCCATGATTCATCCGCCAGCATCTGAAGAGAGGAGGTTGTTTCGTCACCGGTCTGAGTCGGCAAGATTGGCCCTACGGGAGTGTCCGAGCGGTTGGAGGCTTGTCGCATCACGGCGGTCGTCCCTTCCGCTGCACAGAGGCCCGTCCCAGTGACGTCACGAGCCTGTGACGACTCGCGGCAGTGTCCCCAGATCTGATAGTCACCGCACGCCGCCGTCAGCATCCGACGGACGGCTGAAAACGCTAGACCGGGGCAGGGAACGACGGGTGGCAGCCGGGGGGGAGAGCCATAAACATTGATGCATGCCATGGAGGTCAGCTGGATACGGCTCCGGCGTAAGCCGCCGGTATTTCGTCTTTTTAATTGATTTAATAATTTCCCCGCAGGCCAGTGAACACCAGCCCTGACTACAGTGCCCGCAGGCCAGTGAACGCCAGCACTGGCCACAGTGCCCGCAGGCCAGTGAACACCAGCACTGGCCACAGTGCCCGCAGGCCAGTGAACACCAGCACTGGTCACAGTGCCCGCAGGCCAGTGGACACCAGCACTGGCCACAGTGCCCGCAGGCCAGTGACCGGCCCGGCCACACACACGCCGCGCAGCAGCGAGGCCAGCCGTAATGAGGGCGCGCCGCTAATTAAGACCGAATGGGTTTAATTCGGCTCGGTCCCGAGGATCCCCGACCGCAGCCCGTCACGAACGCGGCCGGCCACTGTGCATAATGAGGCTGGCCACAGCGCAGGCTCGCCGGCGCGCCCTGGGGCGCACCCGCACGCCGCGAGGACAGGCGCGGGCTCGGGCCGGCCGTGACCCGGCGCCGCCAGGGCTGGGATGATGGCATCGCATGGTGTTCGCGTTGTCTCAGGGAGTTACCGCAGAGGAGACTTTGTCCCAGCTCTCAGGGGCGGCCTGCCAGTCAGGAGCGCGGGCCCCAGGTCCCGCTCCAGGCCATGCCATCGTCCCAGACGTCCTCCACCGCGGAGAACATGAGAACAAGCTACCCAGAACAGGAACGGGCACAAGCAGGTTTTCCAACGACGGCAGCATTCGCACCGCGAACCAAGTGGACCAAGCCACGGTCTGGGAACAGAAAAATAGACACCGCTCCGCGAATATGCACGTCAACATCCCATGTATATCAAATGCAACCGCAGAGCATGCAGATCCGCGACGCTCGGCGCTGCTCCACTCCCACCGGGCGTATTTCTGCACCACTGCAAAGGTTCAGCGAGCGCCACCGGCGCGGTGGCTCCTCGGCGCCCGGGGGCATGTCACGTGGTCCGTGACTCACGACATCGGTGCGCTGCGGCCCCATGAGCCGCGCGCCGAACGCGGCTATCCCGCGCGCACTGCTGACGGCGGCCGTGCTGCCGGCGTGATACGGCTAATTATAGCGCGTCGGTGCGCGGCCGTCAATTACCGCCGCCAAAGCGCCCGTTAAAAGACACATCCGCTGCATATTAATGCGGCGGCGACGGCGCGCACAAACAGATGTTTCAAAGCGGCCGGCCGGGCCACGGGTGTGATTCTGGACATGCCCAGCCGGGCTCCGCCGGCGCACGCGACAGCCGCCGCCCCCGCCAAGGTCGCGGCGTCGAGTGTTTGGGTTCGCGTCGACAGGCGTCCGCGTGCTCCGTGTTTGACGTCGTCGGGCTCGGCGCCGGTCTCCCGCCGCCGCCGCGCCGCCGCGCCGCATTCCTGCCGCGGGCTCGCGGCTCCCACGTCTGCGTGTAAAACAGCGCCGGCCGTGCGCCCCTACCGCCGCGTAGAGTTCTCGCGATTCGGTACATCCGTGCCCCGGCGGCCAGGGGAGCGCCACCGGGCGCCACGCGGGCCCGCGACATCCGCTCAC